GAAATGCAAGGGAGAGAGAGGTTTGTTTGGAACTGATTGCTTGCCTATTCTCAATCTCTGATTACAGCCTATATGGCCGGCGGCCCCTGACTACGGGAGTAACAAATCTCCTCAATCTTAGGAACAGAAATAGCAACTAACTTAAAATAGAAACTAATCTTATTATGCCTAATTCTAGCCACTATTGTTGACTTGGCCCTGTGGCTCCCTGGACGCGCTCTGCGCGCGCGCCGCGGCGCGTTCGCCGGCTCGGCGCACGTCCCGTGCCCTGTGGCGCCTGGCATAGGTTCGGCCCCACATGACAAGCAGATTCGTCGTACAATGTTGTTTCTACTTATGGGCAATGCATTCATCAACCTGCTGATTTTGTTCTCAATTCTTTTTTACATTTCTGCAGTAACAGATGTCTCTTCTACGACCGAGGGGCCAGGAGATAATGCTTAGGTGCATGACAATCTCAAGCTGCTTGTGCATGGGCTTCTGAATCAACCAGGAAGCGTTTCGTGATGTTTGCATGTTGCATTTCTGAGTTTATGTAGTGGGATGAGCTTTTAGGACATGTCAGTTCACTTTGCTGTGAGACAACTGTTTGGGACTTACTGATTGTCTGGTGATGGAACTATTTAAATTCATAGCACTTTGCGTTGCGACTATGTCTCTTTTCTTGGCTTTTGGACAATGTGAATTTAATTGTGTTGCAGCAGTGATTTCAGGGCTGCATCAGTTATCTGAGTTCGTGAGCAGGTACTGGAAATCTGAGTTTTGCATGCACCATTTGTGCAGCTGCTATGTTGGACACTTAAGTGCACGACTTCTGATTTCTTACCACCTTGCTGTAAGGAGTCAAAACAATCTGATGGGTATATAGGCAATACAGGTGTATCTACCTGAGTTGGCTGTCCTTGGCGCCAGTTGTGCATCTGTACTTTGTAAGTCCCATGGTTAATCCCAATAAGAAAAGCATTGCAACTAAGAGTGCATTCAGTGTTGCTATAAGGTGGGGTTATAACGCCTGTTGTGCATGACTTATCGTTTCTTCCATTGGTAACATTACTAGTAGGTTTTAGACAAGTGGTTGTGTTTGTATATTCTGGCATGGATGATGTACATTAAGGTTTTCCTTTTTTTTTTGTGAACAAGATTAAGGTTTTCCAGTTTTCAGATTTTTTTTTCCTGTTGGAATCTCATGCCACCTTGGTAGAGAATCCGAACCAACAAATTGATGATCTGTGAATGGTTAATAATCAATCTCTTGCACCATCTCAGATCAGTTGGCTGTTGTGTCACATAAAAGTTATATAAATTCATAGTTCTTCAATACGTACATGATCAATTTCATCGTGAGTCCGTGACCATGAGCCGTGGGAACTGCTTAGGGATGCAAGCAGGGTTCGTGAACAAGCCTGCTCCGCTTGTGTCCCTATATCTGCTTTTCTGTCATGTTTTGTGTTGTTGTTCATGCTCAGGTTGGATAGAGGCACTTTGGGCTGAGCACTAGAGCAGATGCGTGCTCTTCTTCGGTGAAAATCGACTCTGGTTCTAGTTGAACTTTCATGAGAGCGTATTTATGCTTCCGTTCGATCTGAACAACTCTGTACATGCCCTTGGAAATTTGGAGCTGACGAATGCCGGAGTCGCGATTCAGTATACCAGCAAGGACGAAGTGGATCAAGTCAGTCTCAATGGAAAGTACCATTTCATCACGCTTGCGAAGAAGCTGGGGAGGGAATAAGATCCTAACATACTACATGCTTCTATGTCAGAGACGAGAGGCGTAGAAACAGCAGCGCCGGCCGTTCCCTGGCCATGGAACGACGGCGGCCGTGCGCGAGACGAGCATCCACCGAGCCACGGCCCAATTGCACAAGACGTACCCACTTGCTTGTTGTGCCCTGTACGAGAGGGAAAAGAGCGCGAGGACCGGAAAAAAGGCGGGATGGGAGCTTCTCTGCTTCAATCTTGTGCGCAACATTTGGTTCTGTTATATTCCTGCTGCTTCTCTGAAATTGATTGAAATAACTTGGTCTTGTTTTTTCTTTTGTCATGGAAGAATCCGATGCCTGAAAGGTATTTGACTATGCGCATGAGTCAAAGCTGCTAAAGTTTTTGCTCAAGCTCAAACTTTGCACACACATGGATGATTCCATTTTTTTATTTCCGCATCCACGTAGCACTCTATCGGTGGCTACTACACTCCATCGTCCGTCCCCTGCGCGTTCGCAGGCGGCTCATGCTGTTCGTCCGGTTCGCCTCCCCGCCCGGCCTCGAGCGTCGGCTATGGGCGCGCGTGCGTGGAACAGTAAAAAAAGCCGTTTGGAGTGTCGTAGGACAGGGAACACGGGTTGGGGTTGAGGGCTGGTTTAGTTCCTCCCTAGAAAGTTTACGTCATATTTCATCGAACGTTTGACACGTGCATAGAGTAATAAATATAGATTTTAAAAATAACTAATTACATAGATTACGACTACTTTGCGAGACGATTTTTTTAAACCTAATTAGTTCATGACTAGACAATAAAGTGCTACAGTAACAAATGTGCTAATGGTGTATTAATTAGTTTTAATAAACTCGTCCCTCTGTTTACCGATGAATTCTTTAATTTATTTTTTTATTAAACATCTCATTTGACACCCGTAGCACGCTGAAACTTTACGCCCTCTGTCTAAACGAGGGCCGGACGGGAGACCGATCCGGACGAACAGCAGCAGCAGCAGAGCAGCCTGCCACTGCGCCACTGCGAGTCTGGCATTGGCAGAGGCCAGAGAGAAGAGCCCAGACCTGTACTTTCCAGGAGGCAGGGCAGGGCAGGGCAGGGACAGGCCCGGCCATGCAGCAGACGCAGAAGCTGACTGCTGACCTGACCTCGCGTGTCTTGACACCCATCCATCAATCACTCCATCAAAGGCTGGATGGACCTGGACGAGACGACGGTCGTGCTCGGGCTGGGCCCCCGACCATGACCCTCCCTCGGCGTGTGTTTCAAACGAACACGCTACTGCTCGTGGGCCCCGAAGCGCCGGCGAAGAAGTCTCGTGTGGGGTAGGGGTGGGTAGCAGGCACAGGCCCACCAGGCTCTGGCTTTTCGTCAAATCAAATCCGAATTAACAGCGCGGACCAGGGCCCCGAAGCCCCCGCAGTTAACTCTAGTACACACAAGCCCATTACCGTCGGTAACCTCGCGCGTCTGTGTCTTGTGTGTGTTTTCAAACGGAGTGCCCGCCCGCCCACAACACCACACACACGGGAAACCTTTGCTTTGCGCCTTTCGCACTGGACTCTCCTCCAACACATTTTGCGATTTGTCTCCTCCGGTCATCCTCTGCTTTAGTAGTAGCAAGTCCACCGCCCGTTGCAAAAGGCATCATCAAAGTTCAATTTAGCTATAAGCCGGCCTACAAATGCTTTGGGGATGGCTCGTTCTGCCTCTCGAGCAATTCAGATCCAGGTTATCAAAATCTCAACCGGCTTTGGCTCGTTTGTGGCAGACACCTAGGTGATTGTTAAGGTCCTATCCAAGCTATGCCATCTTCTAGACTTTCAACTACTCTGCTCCCTCCATTCCATCATATGAGATTTCGCTTGGTATGGTTTTTCAAATCATACTTTGACGGATAATTTCTCTTATGATATACAAATTATTGCAACAAAAACAGATCATTGGAACGCCCTTCTAAACACACCTCCAATGTAACAATTTTTTTTTCTTCATATAAACATTTGTTATGATTAGACTAATTGTTGGCCAAGTCATAATAAAGTCTAAATTTTGAAATACATGCATGATCTAATGGTACTTATTCGGTATCATAAATGTTTGTATAACTTTTATCAAGTTTAAAGATATGTGATTCATCGGAAAGTGAGAACTGCATTCTTCTTAGGACGGATGGAGTATATTATTTGTCAACTAATGCACATTACTATTATTTTGATGAGAGAAATCCAAACCATACATATTTTTTGCGAAAAATTTTGTACATGCGCAGTGTACGTAGTTATATTGGTTCTAAGTTAAACTATCTAAATCTTGATCAAATTTTGCAAAGGAGATTATTAGCATCTACGACACCAAATAGATTTAGACCCTGTTTGGATCAATAGAGCTAATAGTTAGCCGCTAATAATTAGTTTCTTTGGATCCAAACGGATCCAGTTAATTGTTAACTGATATCGAACTTAACAACTATCTTCCTAGTTGGGCTAAATCGGCTGATAGTTGTCTAGCTAATATTAGCTATCAGCTATTAGCAGCTAATGCTATGAAAAATATTTCATAGTAAATCTACTGATATTTATTTAGTATATCAAATATTAGAGCCTAACCGGTTGATAGCCAAATTTTAGTTGGCAAAACTTGGGCAAGCTAAGTTTTTTTTTTGTCTCTATTTGGTTTGTTGCCAAATTTTGCCAACATGTTGCAAATATTTATTTTTTTCAACTTTGGATAACTTTTGGTTGCTAAATCTTTAGCTTGACAGATTTTAGAAGCCAACCAAATAGACCCTAAATATTCTTTACATGAATTTAGTCGAATTTAAAATTTCATTGACGACAATTAAAATGACACTCTTCACATGATACAATACAACACACTAGTACCAGGCAACAGCTAGTACGTGGTATTTATATTTAAAATTAGCCGTAATCCTTCAATCATCTCAGACAGTAGAAGGACGAGAGTGAGATTAATCCTCCAATCATCGCGCAAACCCACGCATGGCTTCCAAAGCTTTCCACCACGTTCTTCAACAAGCGTGAAGGTGAAGCGAAGACTCGCCTTCCTTCCATCCATTCCATCTGCTCGCATTGCAGGTTGCTTCTTCCTTCGTCCTCTGTTTTCCCTCCGTTCCCAGTTCAAAGAGTCCAGTTGAAACCAGCAGTAGGCCAGCAGCCACCATCTCCTTGATTCTTCCCACTCCACTCCACTCCCCCGTGCCGAGCAAGATCAGCCCGCCCGCCCGCGCGCGCGCACCCAGTCGACGAGCGGCCGAGCCGCTCGCATGGCGAAGCTGGCGTCGTCCTCGACGTTCGCGCTCGACTTCCTGCGCCGCCTCCTGTGCGCACACAGCGCCGGCGGCAGCGCCGACGACCGTCCCGGTTCCGCCGCCGCGGCACGCCACGCGTCCACGCCGGAGACGGAGGAGCCGCCGAGGAGCCCCTGCATTGTGGCCCGGCTCATGGGCCTGGACGCGATGCCGCCCGAGGCGCCGCACGCGCACGCCCAGCCCCAGCCCCAGCCCCAGCCCCAGCGGACGCCCCCGCTGCGGCGGAGCCGCTCCGCGAGCTCGGCGGAGGGGTCGCCGAGCCCCTGGGAGTGGGACCGGGACACGCAGCAGCAGCAGCAGCCGCAGCCGCGGGTGGTCCGCGCGTCCGCGTCGCTGCGGGAGAGGCCGGCGTACCTCAGGCAGGAGAGCGACGAGTTCTTGCTCCTCAGCTTCAGCCCCGAGGACCAGGACCCGGAGCGGGAGCGAGACGTCAGGGAGGAGCTCGACTTCCTGCTCGCCGCCGCCGAGGCCACGGCCTCGAGGCGCGGCGGGAGGGTCAGGTCGGACGCGCCCGGGAGTAAGCAGAGGAGGAACGGGCGCTGCCGCAGGCTGCGGTTCGCCGACGACGAGGCGGAGTCGGCCGGCCGCGTCGTCCTCCGCAGGAGGACGCCGGCCCCGGAGTGCGACGCGCACCACTCGAGCCCGGTGTCCGTGCTGGAGGCGCATGACGAGTCGTCCACCACCACCACCACCACCTCGTCTTCCTTGGAAGAGGTGGAGCACGCAGAGCCCTGCTCGGCTACCTCAGGTTCGTCTTGCTCGCTTCCTCAACTTCATATCAGAATTGCTGTTCATCTCCAACAATCTGTCAAGCTACAAAAACGTTCAGAAATCCACATGAGAATTGTGGTTCATCTCCAGCAATCTGTCAATTTGTAGCATCAAAGTCTACAAGAGATGAAAATAAACCACATCCTGTCAGAACCGCAGCTCATTTCCAACAACCTGTCAGGCTTGTACAGTCAATTTTGTCGACAATAACTGCCATAAGCATTTTTTGTGTGTGTGTGGTCCATGTTTTAAGCTCAATTATGAAGCACTTCTTCTAGCTGTTGATCTAATCAGTCTCCAAGGCGGTGTAATCCAAATTTCTGAAACCTCATTTTCATGTCACTTCATCTCTTCATGCTCTGGCCCTGAATGCTGTAAAAGCTGTGGGACAAAGGGAAAAGATGTTCATGATAGTAACTCTTCCTCACAGAAATCTAGTCCTATCAAACACTCTAGATAATGGTCACTTGACATGGTCCAAAAATTCATAAAACGCAAAAGGAAAAGGCATCACAAACCAGTACGGATCACCATATGTAAGAACGGCAAACTGCAGTGTTTTGTCAATTGTTTCAGACTTTTAGTCAGATACATCAACTAGTATGCCGCAAACGAGCTGTTTCTTCCTTCTACTGACAGCGCTGTTACTGTATCCACTTACTGCAGATGAACCTCAGACGATACTGGAACAGCGGAACTCAAGGAGGAAGCTGCATCCAGATTTCTTCCAGTTGGACAACCTGTCTCCTCCAAGAAGCTCCTGCCATGTCTCAAGATGTTCAGATAGGGAGAGGAGGAACAGGAGAGTGGTGAACGAAGACGAGGTGATCACGCCAGAAGTGTCTGGTATCTGGCAGCCAATCTGTCGGCTGGTTGAGGAAGATCTCAAGAACATGGAATGGCCAGCTCGGGATGGTGCAAATGTTGTTCCCGAGATAGAGCATGGCATCCTTGAGCACCTCATGTGTGAGATGGTGGATGAACTCCTCCGGGGAATGTCTGAAACTGTACAACATCCTTTCCCACTCCAATGCATTTCCAACAAAAGATTGGCTGGCAAGAATGTTCAGACAAGACGCCCTATCGGGTGCTACTGAACAAGGTTAGATTGATGTAGTCCTCATTCGCTGACCTGTCGCAACATATGTTGTGAAATGTGACAATAGTCTGGTTTAGGTTAATATATCAAGTCAAGATCACTGCAACAAGTGAATATGTAAGCGCGTGTTCAGTTCCAAAAATACTTCCAAAAAAGTGCTACAGTACATGTCACATTGAATCTTGCGATACATGTATGGAACAGTAAATGTAGACGGAAAAAAAAAACTAATTGCACAGTTTGGTTGGAAATCGCGAGACGAACGTTTTGATGCTAATTAATCCATAATTGAACACTATTTGCCAAATAAAAACGAAAGTGCTACAGTATCGAAATTCCAACTTTCCCTCCAACTAAACACAGCCTAAACATAGCAGCAGGCATAGGTGCAGATATTGCTGAACCTGGAAATATCAGGATCTGCACTCTCTGTACTGCCAAACTGTACATGATTTTATCTCTACCTCGACTCCATGTACTAGCACCTGAATAAACGAATGGGAACAAACTACTGCAAATAATTGTTCTTATGTCAGGTGCGTGTGGTAGATAAATTGGTATTTTTGGTCAAATTTCATGTTTGGCAAACTCCAGTAAACTTAAAACCAAGTTTTTATGATAAAAATAAACAACCTTTGTGCTGATACATCTTGATGTATTTCTTTCTTTAATAAAATGATATACAGCTCTTCTGCATTCTTGATTGTGAATGTAATGCCTATAAAGAAGTTCGTTGGTGATCCAAATATTTTCTGTTTTGGCGGGCACGCACAGGCTTTAAACTTATTTGATGTACGAAGAATTATTCACTTTGTTGCATAAGAAAGCGGAGATTTTTTTCTAGCAAAAAAGAAAAGAAAAAGAACAGCCATTAAGTAAAATGCTGAAATTTTCCAAGAGCCGAGGGGTGTACATTCCATTGTTGCAGCATTGATGTGTGTAGTCGCTTGCGCTTGCATCCAACCGTCGACCAGATCATCGGTCAGCGGCTGTCAAGTGTCAACCGCGAGTGCGCATGGCATTGTTGCTTGTTGGACACGAGACGCGAAGAAGGAAGAGCACGAACACCCATGGGCCGTTTGGGTTTTGGTAGCTGGGCCGACCAGCATCCTGCTCGCAGCATCATGCAAGATAATCAAATAGCGGGTAGTGATGTGGTAACGGATAGCAAGTGCAACAGCGGACACTAAAGTTTCAATAGCACGATGATATTTATTAAAAATAATCAACATTTGATTTTATATCAATACTAACGTCATTTTTCTTAATATCGTTAGAAGATTTTAGTTAATTAATTATTACATTTCGTGGTATAAAAGCCATAAAACACATAAGTAGGATATAGCAAAGAATACACGCATAGACAAGACAAACAACAATGGTAGCCTGCAATAGTGAATGCTAAGTCCTAACATGATATCTTGGTCTAATCAAACATCAGGTTAGATTGGGTTCAAGTATGGCCAGGAGAAAATGTCGAATCAAAATCTTTGACCCATGGGTTGGGTTAACCAGACCTATTTCTCTTTTTTTTTTCAATTTTCTACCTTGAGTCTTTTTTTTTTGATTAGGTCGGATCATGTATCGAAAATCATGACCCGAATCCAATCCAACGCCGATCAAGTTAGGTCAGGTGGCCCATAATCAAATCTACTTCGGTCCGCTACTAATGTAGGCCATGTCTCTCCTCCTTTTGTATTTGGCACTGAAATAAATCGGTCTTTCGTATTTGACATTTAAAAATTTAAACTTTCTTATCTGATGTCGAGTTAAAATTTTCTTCCATAGATGACACTATCTTCTATTTCATCTATTCATTTATTAGTTGACTATTTTGATCGTGTTAGTTTGTTGTTGTTGTTTTGTTGTTGTCGTCGTTGTTGTTGTTAATGCGACCAACGTACCCTGTTACTCACGCATCCAAATTCTCCCGGACGCTTCCGTCTCCGTGAGTCCGTGACCTTCTTCCCCGAAAAAAAAACACCGAAGGAGGAGGAGAGGATGATGGAGCAGAGGATGTTGCGGCCGGCGGCGCCCAGCACCAGCTGCGCGTGCCCTCTGGCGGGGCGACCTCACCCGGCAGAGCCAGGCCGTGGCGCGGTCGCGGCGGCGGGGCCGACGCTCCGGCCAGCCCGCAGCGTGGCGGAGGCGGCGCGGCCCCTCCGGCCAGCCAGCAGCGTGGCAGAGGAGGCGCGGCGGCGGCTCCCGGCGCACAGGCCACAGGGCAGCTGTGGGGGCATGTTCTTGGATCCGGAATCCACGGCGATTCCCCTCCGTCTGCTATCTCCTAGTACTCACCCTCGCTCTCCTCGTCGTCTCCACCGCCGCCCCATCTCAGTACGTCTCCCCGCCTGGCCTGACCCTGCCTTCTCTCCTCCGTCCGCCTCTTCTAGTCTCTATCCATCTCATCGCGCTTACCGAACTCCGTGCGCAGGACAACGAGATCCGGCAGAAGAAAGAGGCCTGCTACACCGACGTCGAGAAGTACGTGTTAGGATGATGAGTTCTCTGCTTGTTTTCTGTTCAGTGGAACGCATCTGACGCGATGCTTCTGAGTTCTGACGGTGGTTTCTCTCTGCCATACCGCAGCGGGCTGTGGGGCTGGGTGTGCAGGTCCTCGCCGACGGAGAAGGACAACTGCGTGCTGCGCTGCCTCTCGCTGGAGTGCTACGACCTCATATACGGCGGCGATCCAGTGAGTGGTGGCATCAGGATGTGGGGTTTCAGCAGCTGCGATATACTTGATTTACTGATTTTTTTGCTTGGCTGCCTTGTGCAGCTTGAGGAAGGGGAGTTGGACTATGTTCGAGGCCAGGAGTACAAGTACTGTATGCACAAGTAAGAATTACCAGAACATCTCGAATATGTTCGTTTGGGGTTTGGAATGTTGAATTGGGTCTGCCATGTGTTGATTGAAGGATTGCATTGTCGTTAAGGTTGTCCAGTCGTAGATTATAAGTTGGGTTGGAGTCCACGTAAGATCCCAATCATATACAATCTTAAACATAAGAATCATAAAAATGTGATACTATTGTTGTCTGGAATCATAGAATCAGGCCCTTGATCAAGATCGTAAAGCTGAAAATTTGTAAGACAGAAACATAGATATTGACAAGCATTATTGGGGGTGCATTTGTAAATGAAGGGAAATGATATTGATACTATGCCTCCCATGGTTTACTAGCTCTCTAAACGTACAAATAAAATCACATGACTAGGAAGAGAATTGAAGTATTGAGAGATCAGGAATAAGTAGGAGTGATTCAGACCCAAGGTAAGGTGCTAGCTGTGACACAAGATGCTCAAACCTGTACTATTCTAAGCATTTGTGGAGAAATATCTGTTTGTTGTTGTCTTCATGTGGAAGGGCGAGCCTGGTGCAAGCGGTAGAGTCTCTTACCGCTTTGTGAAGGGGAAGGTCCGAGTCGAGTCGCTGTCTCCTCGCATTGCACAAAGTGAGGGTAAGGCTTGCCACTAACACCTTTTCCTGCATCTCTTATGTAGCGGAGCTCTCTCTGACCGGGTACGCCTTTTTTTTTGTTGTCTTCATGTCTTATGATGATCTCGACAAGAATATAGGACTGACTAAATCGAGATGAGCGAGCTGCTAAACCGCATCAAAAAATTTACGACTAAGCTAACTAGACAGGCAAATCCTCCCTGCTAAGCCTACCCAGTGAGACCTGCTCTTGCCTTAGAATTTGAAATTTATTATTTATTTATTTGCAGGCTTCGATTATCAAAATCCCATGTTTTAGTTCACAATATATTTGTGATATTTATAATTTTCTTATTTGACAACCTGTCCATCTATTATTTCCCTATTTGGCATCATGTATTTCTGCTACAAAGAAGGGCATTCATGTCATTTTACCACCACTTGACGCCGTTACTAGCCCAAATGGACGGTAGTGCTATCTAGGGAAGAAAATTTCAACTTGGGGCCAAATAAGAAAGTTCAAATTTTTTTAGTGCCAAATGCGGAAGACTGATTTGTTTCAGTGCCAAATACATAATTCTCCCATCTATCTACCCCTCTCCGTCTGTCTCGAAAAGAATACAATTCTAGATATGAATCTCAATAAAACGGAGGGAGTACATCTATTCCAACAGTCCAACTCCAGGGTTGTGCTTCTTGCAGGCCAAGCTGGATGGGAAACTGAATCAGTGGCAGAAAAAGATAACTCAAAGGTTGGATGCGCGCGAAAAGGAATCCGACTTTTTAGTTCGATGCACGGCCCAAGAAGCCAAGCCAAGCCTAGCCCATGACCGAGTCCACCAGCCCACAGCGCGCGGCGTGCGTTTCCCCTGCCCTGAATCGCTACGGCCTACGGGCTACGAGGCTACGGCGGCGCCGACGGCTGCGACGGCGTGCGTACCGGCAACAGCGCAGGGCGTGCTGCGCCTAGGACCGCGATGTGAGCGGCGGCTGGCAAGCAGGCTCCACACGGCCATTGAGCTGTGACGCCACGACGCAGGGAGGGAGAGGGCAAAACGGAGTCTAATGGAAACAGCAAATCGAGAGGTACTACAGATTACTTCGCCATACTTTTTTTTTTCAGTCCTCCGGTCATCATCAAAGTCAGAGGATGAATGGATGATGTTTAGGACAACAGATTGCACTGCGGGCGTGTAGGCTAATGGACCAGTAGGAGGGCATACGTTGCTGTCGGCGTGTAAACTGTGCATAGGCATAGTGCATACTCCCATTCACAAACAAATGCTTCCAGTTCCAGCCATAGATACAGAATGCGAAGTGGGAAATTAGCTGACTATTTTTAGCACAAATACCAGATTTAAGTTGTACCAGAGGTAGGACTGCTAGCGGAACAAAGATAGAGGGATGGGGAGCATGAATGTCTGATGGTTGCAGTGGAATCATGGATTCATGGCTCATCCTAGAATATATATAGAGAATGTGTTACGAAATGAAAAGAAAAAAATAACATGATATGAAAACAAACAAACACAAAGACAACAATACAGGTTCTTATAGTTCCTTTGGCAAGTAGCAATAGCACGAATAATAAATAATAATAAAGGGGGGGGATGAAGGCAGCCCAAGACACAATCAGCCTGTTCGCTTGTTGGTTTCAGCCAGGGCTTATCAGCCAGCCAACAGTGTTTTCCTCTCACAACAAATCAGCACCAGCCGGACTTATCAGCCTAGAAACCAACCAGCGAACAGGCTGAATAAGAGGAATATATACAGGGCACACAAACACACACTATTTCTCATTATTACAAATAAATGAAAGAAGCAAGCATGATTTAGGAGCTTGGCTTGGCTACTAGCAGAGAAGGACGGGCCAGCAAACGAACACTGCTGGCCATGCGTGGACAATAGCTGCAGGCTCGTGCTACCCGTAGCATTGATCAGGCGAAACTTGGCTGCTCTGGCTTCAAGACAGGTTTGTTAGGATGCTTGGAAAGTTGCTGCTTCAACTGTTGCCAGAGTTCTAATCTGTAGGAACCCTTGAGCCACACTTCCTTGAGCTTATCTAGATGCTCTAGCCCAGAAATCGTCAAGGACGACCCACTAGAGAAGTGAACCACAAGCAGCTCAACAGAGCGTGTTATGTAATCATCTGTAAAAGTCACCTGTAACCTGGAGGTGCAGTCGATCTTGAAGACCTGGAATTGTTTGTCCCAGTAGGGATAACGACGAGAGTCCTCTGGAGCCCCAAAATTGACTTGACCCATTTCAACTGCCTTGACACTGATACGTCCTTGGATAATTTGAGTTGGCAATTGCTCATAGAAACATGTGCCCTGTTGCTCTGTTATGGTCATCTCAAGATCAACCTTACTGAGACGGTCAAGCTGCTTCATCCAGGTGGGCAATTTGTGGACATGCCCATACATCTTCAGGCTCTTCAGGTACCTAGGCCTCTGGTGCTCGGAGATGCCGTCCAAACAGCAAAAACCACCCTCCTGATCCTTTTCAAGTCGCACTGACAAGGACTCCAGATGGGCATGACCTGAGATGGCAGAAAACAACTCCTGATAGTTTTCCTTTCTGATGCCAGACACCCTGAGCTTACGCAGCTGGGTGAGCTTCTTTAGTTCTTTGGAGACAGCCTTCCTGCCTGCGCCACTCACATTGACAACACCGAGGGCCTGTAAGGCCGTCAGCTTCCCAATCCCTGCAGGGACCTTGATACTGCCATCATGATGACCTTGCTGGTGCCTGTGGAACTTGTTGGCTGCCAAGCAGCGGCCAGATACCAACTGACGTGCCCTGCTGCTCCACGACGGTGGTGTTGATGTCGTCCCAGCCTCATCTGCCGCTGGTACTTGTAGACTCTGTTCTTCTGGTGATGTTGATGCCCAGTCTTCACTTGCTGCTTCTGGTGGGCTTGTCAGATCCCATGGTTCAGTGGTGCCAGCATTGATGTATTGCAGCTTCTCCAGCTTGATGATAGCAAGCGGCAGCACAAGTATGGAAGTGTATCTGATATCCAAAGTATGAAGCTGCCTCAGGCCACCCAATGAATCCGGCAGACATGTGATCTCCCTGCATCCTCGCAGGGAGAGGAATTTAAGCCGACGCAGTAGCTTCACAATCTGCTCAAGGTCATCATCTGTCACACCTGACGAGTTCTCCAGATCCAGCACCCGAAGCAACCTCATGTTGTTATTGTCGGAGATGAAGAATGACCTCCACTCCCCAGACACTGTCAGAGACCGAAGCTTTGAGAAGTTGATGTTCTCAAAGACAATCTTGTCTCTGTCCCAGTTGCTCCTTATAGTCAAGTGTTGTCCTGCGCGTTGTGAGTTCACGCTGCATTTCCCTTTCAGCGTGAAAACAAGGTTACCTTCCATTGGCCTTGAGACGAGGTATTCACGGAAGAAACCGTTGAGTTCAAGGATCTTGCGGGTGTATGCTGGACCTGGATTATGCTCAAGTTGATGAGCTCGGACAACAACATTTTCCCCTCCTCCTCTACAGTTGTAGAAGCTTTGTCCCTGCAGTAACCCTCTGCAATCCACCGCCTTAGCAAACGCCTCCACCTGATGTTGTGGTCTACTGGGAAGACTGACAGATAGAAGATGCATGGCTTCAGTGTATCTGAGAAATCATAATCAAAGTAGTTCTTCATCCTTGAAAATAGACCCCTTAGCCTATGGAATTCTGGGTCGTTGCTCTCCAAACTGCCCATAAAGTCAACATTTATATGCTTCAACTGATCTGTGGATGACCTGCTGCAGTGTTCTCCTATAGCATTTATTATTTTTGGGAGCCCGCCACACTTGGACAAGATACGTTTAGAAAGTTTCATCTCATCCCGATTCAGTTGCTTATTCTTCCACACAACCTACAATTCAGAAATAAATCACTTTGCAGATATGTACAAATTCAATTTGGAAATGATGGTAACTTCAATATTGAAATTATTTCTAGAATTAAGGTAACTCCTCTTTTTTTCTAGCTAGTATAATAATCTTTAGGATCTTATAAGCATAGTGTGGCCCTAGTCTCAACGTCCAGATTTTTAGATGGTGCATATAAATAATAATGGCTACTGCCTTACTTTTGAGTACCTAACAGGAGGTTACCAAAATCCTTGAATTAGCTCCATGACAGTGCGATTAACCCCCTCACTGACAATCCTAATCAGCCAGGGGCTCGGGGGGCTACACCCATCATGTGCTCTCGCGCGCACACTATGGACTATTGCAAAAGCTTGCTGGGCCTGAGATGGCCCACCCCGATAAGAGGCCCAGGCCTCCGAGAAGTAGGCTTAAGGAGCAGGGCCACGACCAAGTCTCCCGCGTCTAGGGGCTTGGTGAAACCCAGGAAGTTCCCGATCTTGGAAGGTGGCAGCAGGCCAAGGATGTCCATGACCACCGCTGTACTACCCTAGCCGAGCTTCTCGCCTTGACTGATGTGAGGAATCTTCCTCGACACGCGGGCTGAGTCGCAGGGCGTCGGGCCCTATCGGAGCTTTGTCCCCGCCCTTGCGAGGCTATGTCATGCCCGGGGCACTATGCAATGCGACAAGGACGGTGCGTGGCCACTTCATCGGTGTGCCCCGAGCCCGATGGTCAACCTCTCCCTACATGCTGCCACGTCCTTGCTGTGCAACGGATGCCACGAGGATGAGGAGCCTAGGTAAGGCACAACAACAACTCCGGTTTCTAACAATGACCTCCAGGCTCCTACAAAGGGTGTCAAAAATGGTTTAACGTTGTGTAACACCCCAGCCCGTTAGAAGCCTATAGTAGTTGTGTTGTTGGCCCATGTGGAGTGTGATTGGTGGGTTTAATACCAGCTTGGAAGTTTAGTAGGTTGAGGGTCGGCTTATAATCCTTGTCATTTCAAATGTAGCACATCTGGGTTAACCCTTTTACATGAAGCGAGGATAAAATTGTAAAAGAGGTTCGAAAGCGAGGATGAAAGTGTAAGAGAGGTGCTACGCGTATGCAGACCCGTTCCATGTGCGGAGCTGGGCCATATAAGTAGATTTTGGACATGGGGTGTTTACATATGGTATTCAGAGCATCAACCCTTGTTGCATGTGTCCGCAGAGAGGTATAGATGTCCAAACAAGTGGCCCGGCCCTGGCACGGTTTGGCATGGCACGACAAGGCACGATACTACCAGGCACGGCGACGTTGTCGTGTTGTGTTATGCCACCGTGCCTAGGTCATGCATAGGCACGACACTTTGAACCATGTTGTGCCATGCCACTGGGCACGGCGGTCCACAGTGCCCGTCTCGCTCTGGCCCACCGCGCGTTGTCGTCGCGCTCCACGTTGCCGTCGACCTGGGGAGCAAATGAATCGTTGTTGTGCTGCGCCATCGGCACCGCAACCACTGCGTCTCGCCGGTCCCGAACCACTGCAATGCTCTGTGCCATCGCTGTTGAAGGAAGCCGCGAGGAGATGCATCAGGAGGGAGTGGAAAAACGGGAGCGGCGGTCGAAGCCGCAGGAGGGAAGGAGGGAGTCAGATAGGGGAGTGACGTTGTGAGACGGGGAACTCATAGGTGTTTGGGAATTGGTTTTATAGCTAGGGTTTGTAACCCAACGGCTGCGATTCATCCAAAGGAAATCCAACAGTTAGAAATAACCGGGTCGCATTGTGTCGACCCAAAACCGTGCCATGCCTAGGCTGGCACTATGTGTCGGTGTGGTTGCCCAGGCATGGGCACGAGGCCGACCATGCCACACTGGTCCTGGGCCATGCTTTTTCGGTCCGGGCCCGAGCCGGGGCACGAGCGGGCCTAGCCTGTTTAGACATCTATATGGAGGGGTGTACCAAGAAGTGGTTTTGAGCATCTGCTGCGTATGTGGTGAGCTGCCGAGGGCGTCAGCCCTTAAGAGGATCAATGTAACACCCCAGACCATTTAAAAGCTTCTAGTAGTTGTGTTGTTGGCCCATGTTGCATATGTGTTGTTGGTGGGTTTAGTACCATCTTGGAAGTTTATGAGGGTTAGAGTTAACTTATAATCCTTGTCGTTTCAAATGTAGCACCTCCGGGTTAACCCTTTTACACGAAGCATGGACGGAAGTGTAAGAGAGGTGCTATGCGTATGCGGTCCCGTTCCATGTGCGGAGCTAGGCCATTTAAGTAGATTTTGGAGTAGGGTGTTTACCGTCGGCCATAACCAAAGACGAGGAACGACGCTCGCCGTCACCACCATTTAAGTAGATTTTGGAGTAGGGTGTTTACCGTCGGCCATAACCAAAGACGAGGAACGACGCTCGCTGCCACCACCAACCGAGGATTAAGGACGTGAAACCCTAGAAAACCTCTACGAACCCACTCTCCTTCTACTCCCCAGGGCCTTCCGGTGCACAAGGTTGGCCAGGGGCTCATGTAGAGGGGGGAGGGGGTCGACGAAACCCTAGATCACTTTGCTAGCTCTCTCCTACCATCGTCTCTCCCATTGTAAGAACTTAATCTAGCATTTTAACATGAAAAAATTGGCATCTAAATTACAACCACCCACCATTATGAAAACAATTTAAGGTAATCCCTTAAACTAGGAACAAAATCACTCCCATTATAAAAGTAACTTAAAGAACCCATAAATTAGCATCCAAACCCACAATGCCATTTTTGAAAGATAATTTAAAAATAACAAATAAATTTACATTTGGATCACAATCATATGCCATTACAAAAGTAACATAAAGAAATTATCAAATCGAGGTCTAAAATACCCACATTTGTCATTATCAAAATAAGATAAAGTAACCTCTAAATTTGCATCTAAATTACTCACATATGTTATATTTTATAGAAAAATGCCAAAGTAAAGTAGTAGGTGGCTGGACCACGCAGCCCCCACCCTAGATTTGCCCCTATTTGTCATACCCCTTGCCCTCTTATATACTCCATCCATTCCAAATTATAAGTCATTCTAACTTTTTTGGAGAGTCAAAATATCTCAAGTTTACTAAAATTATAGAAATAATTACAAACATTTATGACATCAATAGGTATACTATGAAAATATAATTAATGAATAATCTAATGATACTTAGTTGATATCATAAATATTATTATTTTAATATATAAATTTATCAAACTTGAGATGCTTTGACTCTCCAAGAAAGTTGGAATGACTTATAATTTGAAATGGATGAAGTATTTTTTAATATATGATGTTTATGGCAAGGTAATTAGGTTGACCTAAACATTATATATTTATAAATAGAGGGAGTAGTCTAGATCAAGTGGGGCCACACTGTAACAAATATTAAAATTTAACCTGCCTCAACTTTGATCGTATCTTTTTGCCTTTATAGTAAATATTTTTTATGGGTCCTTTATCATCCAAACTCAACCCAAAAGAAGTTATTTGTAGTCAAAGTTTAAAATGTTTGACTTAAGACAACCTCAAAACGACTTGCTTTATAGAACCGGAGGAAGTACCTTACACTTGGGGGACATGATAAATGATAACGTTTTGGGGATGCTTATCATTTATGTACCTAGATATTCGATCTACATGTTACGATCTTAGCGAATGCTAGATGGTTAAGCACTCTCAGACATAACATATTTTAGGTAGCATAGCATGTGACATTAATTTTTCACCATTCTCTCAAATTTAAAGAAATTTGGTGACATGTGACCAACGACTGAATTAGTATTTAAATTTTAAAAATTCATATAAGGAAAAAAAATAAGATAGTCCATTTTGTAACCCAAGTAAAATTTTTATATGTAAAATGATGTAGAACAAAATGTGAGCATGTAAACCCTAAACTATACTCTTTTATCATGCTAATGGAACTTTAATCTACTCTATATACCAAATTTATTAGGTTCTGAATAATCCTAAATGAAACCGAACATTTATGAAACACTTTAAAGTGAATACTAATTACTACCAAATGTAGGAAACCATGGCTTAATTTAGAAAATTAGCATAATTCTTTAAACAATTCTAAAAAGACTAACAAATGCATATATGAGTAATAAAAACATAAATCAATTTTTCTAGAGGTAATTAAAGTTTGAGTAATAGACATTATCTTTTATCTTAGTTTATTTTTTTGTAAGAAACATATACTTTATCTTAAATATAAAATTATATTCAGGTTATACATACTCTTTAATGTGTGTGCAATTTTTATATGTTTCTTAGACATATGTGGATTAACTATGAAAAACTTTTTTATCCTTAGCCATGTCGCCATATTAGCGCCACACTACCCAAAACAACCCTAAATTTGAGCAAAGGTTGAAATGTTGATGGTTTTACTAGTTGCCAGCGAAAAGGAACAATTTTCTAGTTGAAGATTGAAAACTGGAGTGAATTAAATTGTAAAATAGTATATTTCCTATATCAAAAACGTTGGATGCGCTAGCTCAGCTTGTTGATGGGGATTCAGTTTCTCGAAGAAATGTTTCTAGGATTTGGTTCTAAACAGCAAATAGATTTCAATGGTTTCTAGTAGAATCCATAAAACGATTTTGTTTCTGTTTCTGAATCGTCCCTAGACCATTTGGTAGTGATTCTCCCGTTCTCAGAGAGAAACATGTATAATTTTTTTTTTCAATTGGCAGAATCACTTATTATTATAAAATGTCAAAATAAATAATTAGCTGACATATATACATCTATAAAATGTTAAGAGAGACTTATATTTTTTACTCACATGCATGGATGCAAAAAGGCAAGGAAATTATTAGCTCGACTGCTAGAACTACTATAGATAACTACAATAAGCCAGGATGGTAAACAACGAACCTTCATGAAGAGATTACGGGCTTCATCAGCTTGAAAGGCTCTGACGTTGACTCGTCGTGTTTCATCAACTTGACAATGCCTGGCCACCTTTGCTTCATGTGTAATGACAACAACACAACCATCAACGCGTCGGGGGAAGAATTCCTGCTTTATCGTGTCCCATTCATCCGTGGACTGTAGCCCGTCAATGACAATGAAATATTTCTTCGCGCGCAGAATCTTGCGACACTCTTCATATAGGTCTTGGCCTTGCATGATGCCAACTGCAGCAGCTTCCATGGCTTGAAGGTCATCTGAATAGAAATCCATCAGTAAGCGCCGAGAGAATGTCATCAAACTGAATGGACACGGTACATGGACCCAGCTGAATGCGGTGAATTCGTCTCCATGATTTTCTTCCTTTCGAATGTTCAACCATATAGGTTGGCTGTTGACTGTGAACAGCTGCCCCCATGAACGAAGCATATGATGGTAGTAGCTTGTTCTGACCAGGTATTTCTTGCCAACACCAGTAAAACCCCAAACCGACACAACTCCACCAGGTTCTTGTAGAAGCATGGAAAAGCCTAAAGCCAATTGTTGATGGCTCTCAACAATTTCAGCTGTCTTAGTCCAGGTACGTGCCTTTTCCTTTCTGATGGAGAAAATCTAGAGAGTTTATTTAGAGAGTTAGAGTGCAATCCAGGATGGAATCATCATACTTATACTGTACGTGTGTATTAGGAAAAATTAATAAACATTGGGATGACAGGCAATATATTTACCTCGGCCGCGCTGGCTTCTGGATCGTCTTTGATGGACACAACTCCACCAGGATCTTGTAGAAGCAAGGAAAAGTCTAAAGCCAGTCGTTGATTGCTCTCAACAATTTCAGCTGTCTTAGTCCAGGTACGTGCCTTTTCCTTTCTGATGGAGAAAATCTAGAGAGTTTATTTAGAGAGTTAGAGTGCAATCCAGGATGGAATCATCATACTTTTACTGTACGTGTGTATTAGGAAAAATTAATAAACATTGGGATGACAGGCAATATATTTACCTGGGCCGCGCTGGCTTCTGGATCGTCTTTGATGTTGAATACTCGATCTTTAGAATCTGCACAATGTTTTGCAACATTTTCTTCATTTGTAATGATAATGATGCAGCCTTTTATAGGCTTAGATAAGAACGTCTTTCTGAACAAATCCCAGTCCTTTGTGTACCGCAGACCGTCAATAACAACGAGGCAGTCCTTTTCACGCAGAAACTCACAGCACTTCTGAATTAGGGCTGCCTCTTCTATAGCATCGACTGTCTCATTAGCATGCTTGGTTTCATCATTGTATGCTGAACCACCATATGAACAAAGATCAAGATATAACTGCCGAGATATGAGCCTCAAATCGAACCAATAATCCGGCACGTGGACCCATCCATACGTTTCAAATTTGAATTTCATCAGTCTGCCATCGTGTTCTTCTTCCTGCTTATTATTATGCAGCATTATTATGTCGCGGTAAACTGTGTCGACAACGATAGATTTGGTGCGAGATCTACCCCACACAGAGACTACACTTGGACATGTTATTGCCTGTATAAATTTGTTGATGTCAATGGGACTCTCCCGTGCCTGCAAGTAAGAAAGTAACCCGAGATGATGCATAGCAAAGAAAGTAAATCTGCAAGGAGTGCCTTGAATTAATAACATAACATCACACACACCCAATTTCACATGAATACATGATATAATGGACCAACTCAAATAAAAAAGTATGCCTATATGCATGTATTTATATGCTCAAAGTTCTACTTTTTAAACACCCCCCCCCCCACACACACACACTCCAAAAAGACTTTGGCATGTGCAAATATTTTCTTTCCTTTTTCCAAATGGCCATATTGATTTCAAAAAATGGATGTACATGGACCAAGTTCAGCTAGAAATTATTTATCTAAACTTACATGTACAATCAGAACTGCATTACTCAAAACCAACAATCTCACTTCTTTTTTATCTCTCCAAGTACACTCAATTAATTGTGTTTTTATATACTACAACATGCCTTTTCCTGTTACTAGAACTGTTTTGATAATTTTTTAGAATAATGAACGTGTGTTTTTCGCAGAGTAAATTTCATGTAACCCAATCTTTGGGCAGAGGTAACACATATAGGATCCAATTTTTAGTGATGATAAATCCATACCATACTATTACTAATTGGAGAATCTTTTTGGAGCATCGACGTTAATCCTCACAATACACACTAGAAAAAATCTAAATTAAAGTAAACCCATAAATCGGTGTCTCACATATGTCATTATAAAAATAACAAAGCAAACCCCATTATCTTCATCTAAGTTACCCATATGCCATTATGAAAAATAATATAGCGTAACCTTTGCGGTTAGAAAATAATCTCAAACGATCCGCATTAATCTTTCTGAGACATGTTGAAAGCCTTAGTTTGGTTTTGGTAATTGAGTGATAACTAATGGACTAATGTTTTCAATGAGATAATTATGCAAGGTCAAACACATGGAATTGAGCAAGACTAGGAGATGGTGAAGATGATGCTTACTACAACAAGCAAGAGCTCAACATTGGAGAGAAGAGGAGATGGAAACAAGCCCGAAGCAAAAGGTATATGCAATAATAGGGGTTTTGCTTCACCGGCCAATGTGCAATAGAGTGTACGGTCGGGTTTAAATATAAATAACCATACTACTAAAAGGGGATCTCTAAAGTAACTACAGTTATCTTGTGCCACTAGGTTTGAACTAACTTTGCATATACATTAGTCAACCTAGTGACATGGTGATGAAGCAAGTGGTTTGGAAATATTCTGAAAATACTAACTCAAATACTTAAGGTGTTAGTGTTCTTGTGGAACACATTTAGAGTTAACAAAGTTTGGAAAGCATTTGAGAGAAGGGCTTAGCATAGGGCCTCTGCACTCATCAGATTTATCCGTTGCCCCTGGTGGGGAAGCACCGGAGCAAAGGCTCCCCACTATAGGCCCCGCGAAAAAATGACTTAATGTATTGGCTGGTGGGTCATCGGATTTCTCGGGTGCCCCTAGGGCAGTACCACCGGAGCTTAGGCTCCCAGGTTGGATGGACATGTGGTGGCGATCGGAGTGATGTAGGAAAATTCAAACAGAAGCAACACATTCTTCGGTGTAGAGGTTGGGATTCCAGACTTTTCCGGTGGTGTCCAGAACCTTACTGGACTTCTATCCAGTAAGCTCCCAGACCCACTGAATTTCTCTGGTGGTGTCTCTGGGGAGCACTGGAGGAAGTACTCATGGGGTGTTCCTTTGCTATTGATTTCCCGAGAGCGCTGAGGTGGAGTGGAGAGGCACTAGAGTAAAGGGTACTCCAACGGCTATATGACCGTTTGAATATATCTGTTGGATAACCATTGGATAGCAAAATCCATTCTTTGGTGGTCACCGAGTTTTCCGGTGACCCTGCAGAAACCCCACCTAGTCTCTTTGAGTGGCTTATAAATAGAAGGGTGGCCAGCCATTTTGTGACGACTTTTTGGCACCCTTGGCTGATACTTGTGCATCCTTAGTGATCAAAAGTTCAAAACGCACTCCACTCACCTTGCTTGACTTGTTATTAATCTAAAGTGAGATTGGAGAGACGTAGTGCATTTTCTTTGTGAGTTTGCATCCAGTAGCATTACTTCGTTGTTGCGCGGAGCTCTTGTTACTCTTAGCTACTGATGGCTACTGATGCCAAAGTAGTAGCTAAGAGTGCAATTTAGGGCCCATAATATTTTTTATTTAATAAATACAAAATGACAGTCTTGAATGTATGGTACAATAAACAATTCATATAGTTTCAACTTAACATTTGAATAAAAAAGTTACTGTACTAATAATATTAAAAAATTCAAAGCCTAAATTTGGATATGTGACGTCATGTACAACATATGGCTTGCAACAAGAGCTGATATAACTTAGTCTAATGTTTTCACTGGACAAATAGGATGTGCAATGCAAACGAATGGATATAGGTTATAAAAGCATATAAGTTAAATATTTATAAATTTATCACAAGCGAACAGACATTATAGATCATCTGACTTGATGATATTGTGTTAGAAAGAGGGGAGGGGGTAGAGAGAAGCAGTTTTAATTAGTGTTAGGTACTAGGGTAGAGAGAAGCAGTTTTAATTAGTGGTAGGTACTAAACATATCCACAGACTTATACGTTCTAAGATTCTAATCCGTGTAGGAGGACAAGTCGATCGATGGAGAAACAAACACAAGTAATTCAACTACTAATTATTTGTTATCAAACTATCAACTTATACAGTCAAAAAATAGTGTACCATTTTTGGATGGTAGAGGCTGAAATTTTGTTTTCTTGTCTAAAAATACAGTAAAAAATACTGCATATGTAATATATATATAAAAAGAGGCTCATGCTATGATTTTTAAGGATTTATCGGCCCAGTCTTCGAAGATGCTCATAGAGGTGGGGTTTGTATGCAGGGATGGAGGGAAGGGGGGCCAGGGGGGCCCACACACCCCAACCTCCCTAGTGCCCCACTACATAACCCCTTAATTAGCTAATAAAAATTACTAATTAGTGTTGTATTTATTTATCATCTCTTCTTTGTGTTAGTCTTTATTGATATCTATATGATTTATGTCTAATATTTATGTTATCTTCTCCCTCTATTTTATTCTTGTTATTATTGTTATAGTTTTTCCTACACAATATCTTAGTTGATCTGCATAATATACGAGCAATTAGCTAGTTATGACGTTAATTATTAGTGCTTTATCTTTCCCCTCTCTTTTATTCCAGTTATTACAATGATTTTTTTCTATGAATTATATTAGTTGGGTAGAGATTAGAGACTTAGGGTTTTTTTTTTTTTTTGCTATAATTTTCATTATCATTTTAGACTTTTAACTTTCTTTTGTATCGCAAAACAAATATTGATTTGGTTATTATTTATACTCTTCCTAACTCAATATACTTATATGTGTATGAATGCACGCATATTTTATCATATGTGGTTATCATTGGTATACCAAAATGCCCCCCCTCCCCTATGGTCAAATGCCGGCTCTGTCCCTGTTTGTATATGTGTGTTCATAGTGGTGAGTGTGCGTGTCTCGTGACTTGTGAGTGTCTGGATATCGCAAAAAAAAAGAGTAAACAATGGCAGAGAGAGTAGTATAATATATTAGCAATTTATGTATATTGTGCCTGCAGGTTTACCTTTCTGAAGAAGGCGCAGAGAGAATGGCCATCAGGAAACCGCCTGAGCTCCGACACTAGGTAGGGCTTGCCGGTGCACATAAATGCCATCCCTATGTCATGGGTAGATACGATGATCCGGCTGCCGTTCTTACAGTCCGGCAGGTACATTTTGATGGCATCCCACTGTACCACAGTGGACACATCTTCGAGGACGACGAGATACTTCTTTCATGAGTAGTTGCTTCATGGTTCGTTCGTTTCGCTGAAAAAATAAGTCAAAATATTGTTATGACTGATTTGTTGTGAGAGAAAAATACTATTTCGATTAAAAAAACGAGCCGAAAAGACGGATTAGACAAGAAGCGAACAGGGCCCATGAGGCCGTCGTCGTCGTCTTCCGTGCTTACCCTTGCCGGCCGGAAGCCCACTCCGGCTGCATCTCCATCTCCGTGGTGGTGAGAGCTCTTGCGAAGAAGCTGTGTCAGCAAGCTGTCGAGGAAGTCGTGGAGGTTAAATGGATGCGCCAGCTTCACCCAGGCGCGAGCTCTGAATTCTTGGCCGATGTGTGTGTCGCAGTATGCCTCCCTGATAGTGCTGGTCATCCCAAGGTCACCTCCTGTACTTCCCCAAACCGAGATGACCTGGAGCTCATGGCCGCCGTCAGTGGCGATGATCTTCTGGAGGTTGAGCATGGCACATGGCTTCCCAGCGGCCTCCCACGCCTTGCGAAGGATGCCGAACGCCAACGGGCTGACGGCGGCGCCGGCCACCATCTGCTCTGCCGGCATGGCAGTGGCAGTGGCAGCAGGCTTGTTGGAGATGGAGCGGGAGCCGCCGGCGCCGGACGAGGAGGAATCGCTGCTGGGGATGATGTTATAGCGCTTGCTCCTCTGGCTTACATTCTCGACCCTGGCCTTGAGCAGCTTTATTTCGGCGGCGGCGGCCGCCACGTCCAGGTCCTGCGACTGTGCCAGGCACGGGCAGGCCTGCATCAGGCGGCGGCACAACGCCCCCGTCGACCCCACCTTGTCCATGTGGGCGACGAACTCGACCCAATCCTCCACGTCGAAGGCTAGGTCGCGGAGCAGCCTCAGCCAGGTCCGCGCCACTTCACTTTCGCCGGCACGATCCCTGTTGCCGGCATTGTTGAGGAAGGACTGCATCATCTGGAACTCGGCCGTGATGAACTCCAGGTCGTGCTGCACCTCTTCCTTGAGCCTCTCCTCCTCCTCTATCGCCGACTTGGCCTTGCTCACGGTCGCCTCAACCACCGTCTTGGTCAGCCCAAATGCGAACTCCATGGCTGCCTGGCTGGGCCTGGGAATGTTTGAGCTCGATCTCGATCGATCGATCGAACTCAGCCACTAATTGTTACCATACAACAACTCAGGAACACAGGTTTATATATATAATAAGGAAAGGCTAAGCTAGGACAGACAATGTCACAACGTATCCGGTGCGCTAGCTGTACAAGCATTCACCTCAAAGGCAAAGCGAAGCTGATTCCCACCTTGCGTGCCGATGCTTTGCCTCTTAGCGTGCTAAACCTTTTTCTTTCCTTGTTTCGTCAGGGAGTAATATATTCTCTTAGTTACCCTACACACACGATTTATGTTAAGACTAAAGAGAGAGATGTGGTGCTTCCGTGGACACTATGTCATCTTGCGCGATGGGACCACCGGCGGTCTTTAGCCCGAGCGCGCGGAGCGCCCTGGCCGTCGTAACGTGCAGCATGAGGGGGTGGGTCACCGAGCGATGAACTAGCACCGAGCCGAGTCACGTGACCCACGACAGGCTAGGTAAGAAGGGCGCCTCACAGAGGCCTAGAGCCGGCGGGCCCCGAAGGACTAGTCGGGCCCTCGCTTGGGCTCCACCGATTTGAAGGTCACCGTGGGCATCACCCATCGATCGATCGAACTCAGCCACTAATTGTTACTATACAGCAGCTCAGGAACACAGGTTTATATATATAATAAGGAGAGGCTAAGCTAGGACAGACAATGTCACAACGTATCCGGTGCGCTAGCTGTACAAGCATGCACCTCAAAGGCAAAGCGAAGCTGATAACCACCTTGCGTGCCGATGCCTTGCCTCTTAGCGTGCTAAACCTTTTTCTTTCCTTGTTTTGTCAGGGAGTAATATATTCTCTTAGTTACCCTACACACACGATTTATGTTAAGACTAAAGAGAGAGATGTGGTGCTTCCGTTGACACTATGTCGTCTTGCGCGATGGGACCACCGGTGGTCTTTAGCCCGAGCGTGCGGAGCGCCCTGGCCGTCGTAACGTGCAGCATGAGGGGGTGGGTCACCGAGCGATGAACTAGCACCGAGCCAAGCACCGAGCCGAGTCGTGTGACCCACGACAGGCCATGAAGGGCTCTCTGAATTGGCCAGGGGCTCGGGAGCTACACCCATCGGGTGCGTTTGCATGCAACCACTGATAGGAAAGGGATAGCTTGGTAGCCCGTAAATTGCCCTCCCCGCCAAAGGATGGCTAGTCTAGTTGGTTAACTGAGATATGCTAGTCACTCCGGCGGCACCCTCCAGGTCCTGAGTTCGACTCCCAGTGGAGCGAATTTCAGGCTGGGGGTTAAAAAAATCCCCTCGCCGGTCCCGAGTGCCAAAGCACTGGTTTAAAGGAGACGATCCATCTCACGGGTTACGTCTCCCAGTGTCGGGGTTTTTCTCGGCCTGTGTGAGAAGGCCTTCTTCTTACGTTTAATGCCCGGGGGGCGGCTTGCCCCTCGCAGGTCGAGTTTTTTTTTAAATGGCCCTCCCCTGAGGAAGTCCTTGATATCTGAGAAGTGAGCCTGAGAAGGTAGTCATCGCCATCGCTCGGAGCTCGGGGGCTCGGCTAGGACGCGAGGATTCTTGGCCTAAGGGGAGCCCCAGCCGAGCCATAACACTTACACCATCCCAACCTTGGCTCGGGGCCAACAACTGTCCCTAGCAAAGGCTAGAAGCTAGCTCCATAGTCTATTAGGCGCTCAGGGCCTGACAGGCGCTAAAGCAGCATTCCGCGGCAGGGTCACCCACGGAACATGACGCATCAAGACAAAGGAGCCCCCCAAACCTGCGGAACGGGGGGGGGGGTGTCCTAGGCACGCTCAACAGCCCCTCCAGACAGCGGGAGGATCCTTGCATACCAAGGAAGCCAGGAGAAGGCTCACTCAGGGAAGGCTCCGCTGTGGCAGTTAGCGCCTGGCGGTCAAGCGTCAGACTGCAGCAGGGATGTCAGGGAGTGCTTGCGACATTGTCGCCCCCCTTCTACACGACAAAAAAGTATCCGATGATGTCAAGCGGAAGGAGACAGGAGCATAAGGCGAGAAACCCTAGAGAAACCACCTGATTTTGTACTCCTATATGCCCTCTAATGGGGACGGGTTTCCCGATCTTCTCAGGTTTAAAATAACTATCGATTTGGTCAGGAGCGACACACTGATCCGGCTTCAGATCACAAAGACCCAAACCCTGCAACCTTAGCACCACGTCTCCCCTGATTATCAACCGTGTCACAATCCGGTTGACCTCGCCAAGAAGGCTAATCTATGCTGCGAATCGAAGAACACAAGCAAGAACAAGATAAAGCGCAACTCAATTGAAGTGACAATTGCAGATGAATGATTAAGCACTCGAAGTTGGGGTTTCACAACCGATAACGGCGACTGTTCAATAACAGATTGATCTAAAGCAAAACCCAAACCTTAATGAGGGCGGAGACTACTGATTATAAGGTGTTAGGGTCATCACACCCCCTAAACGCGCCCTAACGGGTTCAAAGACGATACATGGCCAACGGACCAAAGACAATGATGCAACACCCTGACAGATTCTGGACGCTAAATTGTTTCGATGATTCCCGTTGACTCCGGTGGAATTTGGATCTCAAACCAAAGCCATTGATTAGATTATGAAATTATGTTTTCATCCATATGTGGATCGTCGAAAATGGAGTCCGTATGCGTCTTGAGAGTCCGTTTTATTACAGACTGTTCCGGAAGGCCGAGGCAGACTCGAACTGAAGTTGGACTTGGCCTCCGGCTTGGCTTGGACGCCCTTGCTGGCCTCCTAAAGTGGTGGGCAAGGAGGAGGACGTCCAAAATCTTTCTTGGTGTGTTCTCCATCTCCTTGGGGCATGCTCCGACTTGAGCCTGGGTCCCAAGTGTAAATAATAAGCCCGCGACCACGTCGTAGCACCCGACAAAAACAGCGACAGCATGTATGGATGATTTGAAGACCTTACCAATGTGATATTGAGGTGGGACCAGATCTATTTGAAATCTTGTCAAATAAGCTTTCCATCAAGTGCTCATTGACCTCAATCGCACAACGTATGGATGAGTTATAGCCTTCACAATGAAGCACTGTCGGGCTGCCGACGAACCGAATGTTAGACTTTGATGAGCTTACATTCCAAGATCAGTCTTGTTCATGGCATATCCATACTCTATCATCATCACCATCATTCCTAAACACATTTGAAATACCGATATTAGGTAGTAACAAATTCTTAATTTTATCGTTATGCAAACATAGGAACGAGCACACCTTGTCTTTAACTTTCATTGGCGTATCCATAGGTGTCATGTCCTTATCACCCTCCTCTGTGTATATATAACGGGTGGAATGAGCTCCCATAGAAGGGGACTATCAGCCCGAGACTCATTGATCGGACGATCTCACCTAGAACCATAGAATAGCACCGCGCTATCCCCTACCACACTATCTCTCTCTGCATTGTAAGAACTCTCGATTGAGCATTCCTAACACGAAGAACACCATATTGCTGGATGTAGGGCTCAGAAGCCCGAACCATGATAAATCACCCATGTCCCTGAGTGTTTTGAGTGGTCGAGTCACCGGAGATCCACACACCGACTTTCGACGAACAACATGATGCTTGTTGTAGTTCTAAATCCGTGACTGGAGGTTTGTGTCATATCTGATAGACACTTTGGCATACTTAGTGTTGTATAGGAGCAAATTTCGGAGCACGCACATGTCATATCATGTAGTTTTTTATATGAAACATGAGGTGTTGCCCCACCTCTAGAGTACAGATAATTTTTACAATCACCTCCCTTTTTCTTAGGGTTGGTTCACTTAGCAAACCACCTTTAGCTAGGACTGAGAACACTATAGCTCACAAACCATCTCTAGAAGTCCATTTTTAGGAGGGTGATCACTTACACTGCTACAGAAATGGTCATCTTCGTATCCTTATCATCGCAGTTTTTTTCTAGAACCAGCAGTGATAATATTTCACCACCAGTTCCACGGTCGAGGGGCACAGTAGCCAGTTCTTCAACCGGTGCTGAAAAGTGTTATCACCACCAGCTCAGTGTATGACCCGGCGTTGATAACCGGAGTCGATTTCACAGCTAGACCATATGCCGAGCAGGGGTGAAAGTAGGGTACATCGCCGGTTGGAACAACCTATGCACCACTTCGTATTGGACCGGTTGTGAAAGAACATGTCAGCGCCTGATGAAAATTCATTGTTCTACCCAGCGGTGAACATTGTTTGTATTGCCAAATCATAGGATGAACTGGCGGTGTAAACAGGGTTGGTCTGTGGGCGCCGTTTGTGGGCATTGTGGGGGCCTTTTGTGTCGGCCTAGGAAAGAGATGAAGGATGCATTGATGTCCACATGGCCTTATCGACTCTTCTTTGATTTCTCCTCATTTGTGTTCGTGAGGCAACGTGACTATTCGGTCTCACATGCCCGAAACTTTGTGCCCGTGGAGTGTCTCAAGCATTTATCCTCCTTGACACCGGGAAACCAAAGAGGCAATCACAATTCTGTACAAATAGAAGTGATCTACTGTCTGAAAGCGTGCACTCTTCTTTCTCCACTCCAAATTTGTATACATAGAACCAAAATGCCACTCGAACCACGACATTCAAGCTGCCCAACAACGACTCCTCAAGCGATGAAGGATCAGAAGTATGGGAGAGTGACGGCTAGGTGGGCTCAAATGAAGACAGTGCGCCTAGTTCTCCCTGGACGACAAAAGGCGAGCGGTTCTATGGTGAGGCGGCGGGCGGCGGCGACGAGGAGGAGGAGGAGGAGGAGGATGACGACGACGATGAGCCTCCAGCAAAGAGGCACAAGAGATCCTCTGCTAGTTTTGAACCGACGGTGATAACCATGGCTATCACCGTTGATATTTCACCAACGATGGCCAAAATCAACGGTGACGTGGGGTTCCAACCCAACTGTGATGGTGTTTCTATACTAGTGTTAGGCCAATGCTCCCTAGGGGTGGCAGTCTCTAGTGAACCGCCCTTGGTAATAG